TCTGGTTGTGATACTCTTGCAATCTGATTGACAACAGCGACGATGATCAAAGTCAATGTCCAGCATCATCAAAGGAAGTGTACAGCTGATCGTGGATGAAATCTATGTTAAGGGAAATTACACCTGCTCTTGTCTGGTGTAATTCCCATCTTCATAGGTGTACTGTTTATTCATGGGCTTTCTTTTGCTGTTGTAGGAGTCTCCCTAGCACTTGCTGAACCCTAAAACCCAAAATCCAAACTGGCGAATAGCTTGCGGTTTCAGCAAGGAAGACAACAGCAGTAATGCACTGTCCTGTTTGTGTCTCCTAGGGTCTCAGCAGCCCACCAGTGGCAGCGGCGTCTTCTGGCTGTGCCTTGTGAACTGCATACTGTATGTGCTAGACCATGTGCTGCGGATGCGATGGGTACAGTCCCTGTACCTCTACCACCGATCACACAGGTAGTACACCCTACTTCTTGACAAGTGGCATAAGTACCATGTACAATTTGTGGTACCAATTTGTTGGTGGTTGTTTTCCTTGGTTGGTAGTTTGGTAACTGTCCAAAGGTCTGCTGCAATATAGGACAAGTTGTCCCCTGGTACACAGTTTGTAAGATGCACTATGTGTTTCGGTATTTGTCAAACTACATGATAACACAATAGCATCATATGTTATCGTATGCACTACCATTCAGGTATGAAGGCATGAAACCTCCTCTCAAACAGGGGCTGCCGGTTTATTATTTTGTGGGTACTTGAAACTTGTTATATTTGTTGTTGTCGTCTTTTAGTGCATACTTGTGCCACTCTGTGTTCCATTCCTCACCAACTGCATTTGGAGACTGCTGTGCCATTTGTCACAGTGTGCAAAAGGGGTCAGACAGGTTGCTAGGTAAGAGAGGTGCCCCTGGTGTGGCCTTGACAAGATTGGCATAATACCTGTGCAGGTGGTGGCAGTTTATCACGTCTGCATTCTGCCACAGTGACTGGCAGCACCTGTCCTCCAACATTTTCATGCTGTACGTCTTTGGAAAGCTGGTAGAAGAGGAGGAGGGTGCGCTGGGTGTGTGGACGACATACATAGTGTGCGCTCTTGGTGAGTGCTGTCAGTGATCCAGACCATTGGATCACAATTGTTGTTCCTGCATGTTTTATTGCTGTGTCTTTTTGTTTTTAAACATTGCATGGGATTTGTGATTTTGTTCTTGTTGTTGCATCATCATTCAGGGATCTTGACTGGATGCCTGCCTGCCTTATTGGCATACCTGACTGATTGACTCACCCATCATGGCCTACAAGGGCTGTGCTTTTGCTGATGACTGACGGACTGGCTTGTGTTGTTTTGAAGGTGGGAGCCTGGTGTCCTTCTTTGTCATACCAGATGCTGTCAGCCTGGGGGCGTCCGCCGCTGTCTTTGGGCTCTTCATCGTCAGTGTTCTCCTCAAGCTGAGTTGGAACATCCGCAAGCTCCTGGAGGCCGCGATCCTGGGCCAGTTCGTGTATCAGCAGGTTGTGCGGGAAATACAAAATCACGTGGCTGGGGGAGTGGCCACAGCAGGCGGCCAGGTGAACCATCTGGCGCACCTGTGTGGGGCCCTGGCAGGAGCCATCCTTGTGTTGCTCCTGCGACAGCTACCTGAGCCTGAAGGTCAGAAATAAGCAGAGAACACTGCAGGTCCGCCAAATTCTGCCTTGATGGCACCTGTGCTGTGGATGAAACGGGGCCCCTGCTCCGAATAGTTGATGATCGGCCCTTTTGCGGTCTGCAGCATGTGCTCCCAGAATGCGCTTGAATGTCTCAGGCAGCCTGTCACAAGGCTGTGGATATGCAGTGAGTGATCATGGCCATGCTTGGGGATTGTTGGGGTGATGCTGTACTGATGGGGTGATGCATGAACGCCATTTGATGTGGTGCACATAGGTTGATGCATCCACACACATACAGGCCAATGGCCCATGGCCACATGGCTTTGGTGTGTTGCGATTCTGGGATCTGTCGCTGCATGTGCCTTTCTGATCCCCTTCAAGGCATATCTCTCAACGCATTTTCTCCAATCTCCTTGTTCCTCTGTGTGTGTGCGCGTGTTTGTTTTTTTCAGCTGAATGAAACAGAGCTCACACGACGTGATGTGCTATATCTCGAGCGCAAGCTCAGCAATACGTAAGCGCCAAGGCAGAAGCGGGATGACAGTCGGTGGCATTGTTACCCTGGGAGTTGTGTGCCTCTAGGCTAATAGGTTGAGAATCCTTGTGGGTTTTGACAGTACTCGTAGGCAATGGTGGAAAACATCTATTCAATGCGTAGCTTGAATAAATGTACAGTAAGATGAGATCAATATGAATGAACGTATCCTGTATGGCAGCATGACAACGACGCAATATTAATGGAAAGTGTCGGTTGAGCTCCGATCATCAAAAAACATCATTCATTCCAGCGGTCTACAGGGACCTCCCAGTGGCTGGCAAAAGGAGTATTGCGTAGATGACAAGCAGAGGCCAGTGTGCCAAGAGCGATGCCTTCACAAGGCACAAATCCAATGCTATTGCAGGCTGCAATGGTGCTATGTTTTCTGTTCCAGGAGACCGTATTCAAATGAGTGCCAATCATGCAATGTACAAGTCGGCTTTGTGCCACCGAGAATTATGCCCATGTTCCGCGCTATATCTACTTGCTACCCAGCTCACAGGCAAGCGTTTTGATGCGCTCAACAAGCGTTGGATGACCAGTCGATGGGCCCGATTTATGGTGCCCAAGAAGGGATGATTATCCTTGCATGGGCCTTGCGCCGCAGCTTGCGAGTCCCAGTCAGGCAACTTGGGCTGGTGAGAGTGGAGGGATACCCTGGATTGCAGGGTGCTATCGGCAAGCTGCCAAGCCGGGCCCTTCTGCAATGCAGGCGACGATCTGGTCAACGACAGCGTCCAAATGCAGACATCAGTTACATTGTCCTTTGCAGGGTTGCTAAACTGCACCCGCATTGGGATTGCAAATGGCCCAAACAGCTCGGCTGAGGGTAATACGCATTCACTCACGCCTGCAGTTGATTCTAGGTGGGAAACGGTGGCGAAGTTTGGATGAACTCCTGATTATTTCTGTTGCAATAATAATCAGAAGAATCAGATGGATGCATGAATCAGCAAGGAAACCTTTCTTCAGCAAGAAGCCTAACGGGCGACTGCCCTTGAATGATGAGGAACAGCCACAAAATGCCCCAGTGACGAGACCGCCGAATTGCCTGCTCTGGTATGTGTTCGAACTACCAGGAACTGACCACTGATCTGCTTCCATCAATTACTGATTTGTATTCCGATGAGTAAAGGAGTGATTGCTGAAGAAGGCCATCATCACCACAACGATTTGGGGCAGCTCTGGGAAACCCGCTACATTTGGTCCTTTTTGGATGCGGGTCACAGGGAGTCAAAACATGACGCCCATGACATGCAACCAATTGTAAGGCATGGGCAGGCGGCAGTTTCAATGGCAAGTGAGGAGAAGAGAAAGCGGGTCTTGCCTTGTCGAGTGATTTCTGCTCCTTCCTTCCCACCGACTGCTGCAGTCGGCTGTTTCCTGTGCAGCACAGGAAACAGCCGATTCGCTATCAGCCACAAAAGCTTGAATCCAGATCAGCCAACTGACAAGTGAAACAGGGCCATTCGAACAACATTCCAATCTACTCAAACTTGTCAATTTAGATTAGCTCGTGCTGTCGCACACATACAAACAAAGCACATTTCACTTGGACCTGTGCTGTGAATCTCCATGTACTCCATTCCAGCAAAACCATTTGGTAAAGTTCTGTGGAAAACCAGCACGAGCTGTCCAAAAATTGGATCAGTAACAGAAAGCACACATTGTTGCTCCCCACTTCGCCAGAGGGTGCAAAATGACCACAAGAAAACGCGGGGAGAACAAACCTTGGAATCGGCACCATCCGATTCAATCACTCTTCGGGTCCATTCCTGGTATGCCAAAACCCGCGTGTAGGCAGGCTGGCCGACCCACAGGCACTGTCGCCATCTCCAAGAGATGTGATTCCTATCACAATACCTCCCCGGGGCACGCCCTTTGACACGTCGCCATTCGATGCAAATGCGATCACCAGGGTGTCGCCACCCTATCAGCCGCATCATGGACATTCAAGAGATAGCTTGATTTTCATCGATGGCAGCTCCGAAGCTGCCAGGGGGCTGTCATGGACTTCATATGTTGTCTCCAGGGCTGGCAAAGTCAAATTCACAAACAAAACAGGTAGCAACTTCAGGAGGCACAGGAGGTCCTCGAGGGCCTCGTCAGCAGCGACGGCAGGTGCCAAGTCGTGCGGCAGTCCGAGGGCAACCTCGTCATATACGAGGTGGGCGTGGCCATCTGGTACACCGTCATGTATAGCCGGCAGAAAGAGGGGGCGGACATCGCTACGAACTTCCAGATGGACGGGAACCTTGTTCAGTATCAAGTGTACCCGGATGGCCACAGGACGTTCTATGGACGGCGAGCTGTGAAGACATGGGGAGAAAGCAGATTATCGTGCACGATGACGGGAACATTGTGATCTACAAGGATGGCTGACACGACCGTGAGAACGCGGTGTGGGCATCGGACACGTGGTGCCCCGGTAGCAGAAACTGCGGCAAAACCGTAGGGTGATGCAGATGCTGCAACATCTGTGCAATGAATTGCCGTGAAAAGGGTGGAGCAGCGGAGGCCAGAACGCTCCTGCTCAAGCGAAGACTTGGTAGAAGCGTGCTCCCATATCCGTTCTGTTAGTTTATTGAGTAGGAAGTGTTGCACATGTGGCCGTGGTAGGGTCACAAGCACAATTGGTGTAAATACTGCAATTCTGCGATGGTAGAACTGTGCAATGTGGGGCACTTATACAAGTGTTGAACATGCAAGGAGAGCAAATGGTTTCGGCATTGCTTGTCCCAATCTTCATCCCGCACGCCAACGTCTTCCTAGGGTTCAAATTTCGCCTTCTAAGTTGCCACTGGCGTTTTGCAACTGATGCTGCTAATTTCTTTTATGGGCGCAAAAACGCGCCTTATAAGGCGTTGATGAATGCTTCCTGCAACTTAAGTACATGCATATCCAGGCCGCATTCGCCGATCTCCTTGCAGCAAGGGACCTACAGGTATTATGTCTTACACCCAGCCAACCGTCAAATCAGAGAAATTCTCAATCAGCTCTTCCTTTTCTCTGGAAACTTTCTGTACTGTCACTGCATCGTAATCTACTGCGGCATGCACTCGTATTTTCTGAAGTGAAGAGAACGCAATGGCCTGCGCTCCCAGTGACGGGTTGAATATCCCCACCGTGTCTTCATCATAACGGTGGGCCTTGATTATCACAGCACTGTTGCGCGGTTGCGTTCCAAGCACTGTCCAAGAGTTTCCATGCACATATTTGCCATGAGTCGCGGTGCCCCCCCACATGCCAGGGTGCTCACCATCTACGGCTTGGCCGTGCGCCAGTGCCTGAGTGGTGAACCAGTGCCGCGACTAAGTCGTTGGCACCCAATAAGCCTGCACTGAGGTGCAGCGCAAAGTTGTTGAAGGTGCCATCGCCACGGGTTGCGTCTGGGCAAGTACCTGGGACACAGCATATCCGCAATTCCCTGTGCAGGGCGCCACAGAATTTTGCCCCACATGGTGTGGGTCTATGCCGGTGGGAGGGATAAGGGATCCACCGACTCCATCAACATTCGCCAATGCTAGCTTAAGAATTTCCCAGACGAACTAATTGGCCAATATTGGCAGCCACGGGCACACCACTTCGCACAAGAAAGGCAGCCACAAACAAAACAAAGCAACCCCCTTGTGGCGACCCGCGACCACTTTGGGGCTCAGAGGTTGCGCACGGGGTGGAGGCCAGGGTGTGAGGCTAGCCAACTCACAGCGCTGTGAGTTGTCACACAGCTGCCATGGTGCCAACGCGACGGGGCCAGGGGGGGCAACTATTTGCCGATATCGTGGCCAAGAGATCGCGATCTGTGGCAGACCAATAAAGCCACCAGCCACCTGGCGTCAAGTGGCAAAGGCATGCGATAGGCCTGCGTGTTCCACAACTGGGGTCTGATCGATCGGCAAGCACAGCCAGCCAAATCCCGGGAGTTAGACAATCGAAAGCATGTTAGTGGCCAATGCAACAAATAAATACTTCGAGTACATCTTTCACCACCAACTGATTTGCCTCGAAACGGACCCTAGCTTCAGTAATTCCGCACTGTTGAGTTGTGCAGGGCCGTGTGTCTGCGAGTGAGTGGGCGGGTGGGATGTGGGCGGTGGTGTGGGTGATTGGGTGGGTGGGTGGGGGGTGGGGGTGGGAAGTCACGTAAAAGCGGCGAAATTTTGGTAGTATCCTGATTGCGGCTGTCGTGCTTCACTTGCAATGGCTTCGCACTTGCTGGATCTGCTTGTCTAGATGGATTCATGGCCGGCACCGGCAAGATAGAGCTCGGCGTCTTCAGGATAGGATTCAAGCTCAGGCGGCTTCAGGATAGGATTCAACAGCTCTCATCACACGATTCCCCTCCCTTCGCACTTGCTGTCGCGGTGGTGCGTGCTACCCGGTGACTGGAGGCACAAGGAGCCTCGCCTGAACGATCTTTTCTGGTGTAGAGGGCCAGGGCGAAGGGGTTTCGCGGACACGAACGACTCGAGCG